AGTCAGAAGACCAGATCCCTGACCTGCCCAGTCGCCTGGGGGTAACAGGAACTGCAGAGATCCTACCTAACCACACATTGCACCTGAAATAAGGCAAATAGTTCAGCAGAACACATTCATGCAAAAGGACAGTAATAAGTAACAGACAGTATGGAAAGTAAAAAGAAAAGAAAAAAATTCAACAGTCAAGGTTCTTGGAAAGGGTACTTTTCCACAACATCGACTTTACAGAAAAAGGCACAGCACAAGGGGAAATCATAGTAAGCAGAAAGTTAGCTTACCACTGCCAGCAGCGAGATGACTTCCCAGGTTGTGCTGTCCTTCTGTGTCTAAACGATGTCTGTAGAGTTTCCCTTTCCGGCTCGAAGGACCAAATTGATGGGGAAACCCAAAACTCATGGGTTCCAGTAACATTTTGACTGCTCAAGCCAGATTGAAAAGTAGATGTTTACGCTATCCGCAAGGACATTGTCGACTCGCAATCTACCTCCCCACCTAACCTCCCCACCCCGTCACCCCTTCTTCTCCCCCCTCCTCTGCCCTCACAACTGCACTGCCCTCCACCTCTCCCGAGGCCCCGCCACCGTAACCCCCCCTGCACTGCACTCCCTCAGCCCTGTCACTACTGAGGAAGTCGTCAAGGTCCTCTCAGAGGCCCCGCCTCACTACCTGCCCCCTGGACCCTATCCCCTCTCAATTCCTCCGGTCACCCCCCTCTTCCCTCATCCGCTCCCTCACCCACATCTTCAATCTCTCCCTCTCTACTGGCGCATTCCCCTCCCCCCTAAAAAGCACGCACATATCACCCACATCCTCAAAAAGCCCTCCCTGGATCCCGCGGACCCCAACAACCTCAGAACCATCTCCCTGCTGCCACTCACCTCCAAGCTCCTTGAGCGCATAGTCTACGATCGCCTAAGCGCCCACCTTATTGACAATAACCTCCTTGACCCATTACAGTCCGGCTTCCGTCCCCTACACTCCACCGAAACTGCCCTCCTTAAAATCACTAACGACCTACTAAACGCCAAAGCCAAGGGCGACTACTCTGTCCTCCTTCTCCTGGACCTCTCTGCGGCCTTCGACACAGTCGACCACCCCCTCCTCCTTAATAAACTACTCTCCCTTGGCATCAGAGATACCGCTCTCTCCTGGTTCTCATCCTACCTATCCCGACGCTCCTTCAGCGTCACCTACAATGGCGCCACCCCCCCCCCTCCCTCCCCCTCTCTGTTGGGTCCCTCAAGGCTCTGTCCTTGGACCCCTTCTCTTCTCCATCTACACCTCTCCCTGGGCATACTCATACACTCCCATGGCTTCAATTATCACCTCTATGCTGACGACACCCAAAATTTACCTCTCCACCCCTCTCCTCACCCCCACTATCTCCGCCCGCATCACTCACCTCCTAAACGACATCTCAGACTGGATGTCGCTCCATTTCCTCAAGCTTAAACCTCTCCAAAACCGAACTCCTCGTCTTTCCCCCTGCCCACACCCCCCCCCCCAGCCTATCCATCACCACCACCAACACCACATCATCACTCCCGCCCCGCAAGCCAAAGTCCTTGGTGTCATTCTTGACTCGAACCTCTCCTTCCTCCCTCATGTCAAATCACTTGCAAACACCTGCAGGTTCCATCTCCGCAATATTGCCAAGATACGTGCCTTCCTCACCCCAGACACCACCAAACTTCTTGTACACTCCCTCATCATCTCACGCCTTGACTACTGCAACTCTCTTCTCACTGGCCTACCCAAGTGCAGACTCTCCCCGCTCCAGACCATCCTGAACTCAGCGGCCAGACTCATCCACCTCACCACCCGCTCCACCTCTGCCACCCCCCTCTGCCTCTCCCTCCACTGGCTCCCGATTGTCCAACGCATCAAATTTAAACTTCTAATCCTGACCTACAAAGCCGTTCATAACACTGCCCCTGACTACCTCACCAACCTGATCCCCAAGTACCACCCTACCCGTACCCTTCGCTCCTCACAGGACCTCCTTCTATCCTGCTCCCTGGTCTCCTCCTCCCATGCACGACTGCAGAACTTCTCCAGGTCCTCCCTTATCCTCTGGAACTCACTGCCCCAATCCATCCGACTGTCGCCTTCCCTCCCCACATTCAGGCGCTCCCTCAAAACCCATCTTTTCAGGGAAGCCTACCCCACCCTCACCTAACGTCCTTTCTCCCTCATTCCTCCCACCACTTCATCCCCCTCAGCCACTTCATTCCCCTCAGCCACTTCCTATTGTTCCACTACCCCCTCCCTCCTAGATTGTAAGCTTGAAAGAGTAGGGCCCTCTTACCCCTCGTACACTGTCTGTCTTTGTTGTACTGTGCCATGTATTGTCCCCCCTATTGTACAGCGCTGAGCAAACCCTTTGGCGCTATATAAACTCGATGTAATAATAATAATAATTATACAAGCATGTAGCTAGACCTCCATGCAGGGAGAGCAGAACAATACATGGTGTTGGATTCAAAGTAATGCTCTCTCTAACTAGGGCCCTCTAATACAATTTATATCCTTTTCCAATGGGTGGTACCTGACTATCTGATCTTTCTGTCAAGAGCCATCTGTGTTTTTGGAGAAACTTCTGAGGTGTGATTATTTGTCCACATGTAAATGTCCATCAAGTTTGACAGGTCCTGAAAGGCTGTGACAACAGTCTTGAGGTCAACAGGTGGTGAGAATGCTGTGGAACTGGTAGCAGAAGTGAAGTGCCAGATGTTGAGCCAACAGGAGAGGGCATGAGGTGTGAAACTGGTTTTTTCTCATACAGAAACAAGGAAAAATAAAGAGGTTGTTAGGCCATCTAATTCAATACCAATGTATTTCATATTTATATCTAAAATGGCTGCTCCATTTTCCCTTACAGTTAACTTAACATACACACACCCGCAGTGGTTCACATGAATGGGGTGCGATTCTGATGCGGTGCGGAATTTTCCATGAAAACGCTGCGAATTCCCCATTGCATCAGTGTGAACCAGTGCAATGGTATTGCACAGAGCAGCCCTTTACCTCCTCTTCTGGAGTCCCCCACCAGTGCTCTCCACTCCTTTTTGCAGAGGGAGCACCCATGTGGGCACCAGGGGTGGACTGACCATTTTGAAACTCGGGCACTGCTCGAGGGCCCGGGGTTGGTAGGGGGCCCCACGAGATGCCCCTGGTACCTTTTTCATAGGCTTTTTTGAGTTTGGGCAAGGACACAGGGGCCCCATGATCCCCTATTGCCCGGGGGCCCCATGAGTTGTCAGTCTGCCCCTGGTGGGCACACTTCTGAGCTGGACTCTGTGCATCCATAGACACACAAAGCATGTCTGCTGTTCTCAGTTTGTCCTGTAAGAAGAGGAAGAGAGAGCAACTCTGCTGCAGACGGGCATAGCGCTGCATCGAGCGAGGAGTCAGGTAAGTAGGGAAGGAGGTTGGGGGAGAAGCTGAAGAAGCAAGTAGCGGGACATTTCGTACCTCAATGCAGAGTAAGTAAACAATGTTTTGACTTAAAAACACTATGATTTTGATGCTCTTTTCTCAGATCCTTTTAATAGTGGTTATTTGTTTTGTTGATCATGGAAAAGGGAAATTATTTACTGTGCAGACCCCTGTGAAGTGTGTTTAAAGTGTATTTATACTCAAGGCTTTTTTTTTTTTTTTTGATAGCATGAGGAAAGGTTTTACTGCTCTCTGGAGCCCAGTTAGACCTTTGCAGTTTTATGTGCATTTGGAGTGCACAAAAAAGCATCTGTTAACTAAGCCACTTTAACCACTTCAGCTCCAGAAGGTTTTTCCCCTTCAAGATCAGGCCATTTTTTGCTATTTGTGCACTACGCTATTTTAACTGGCAATTGTGAGGTCATGCAATACTGTACCCATGGTGGTTTTTGAATACCACTTAGTTTTTTTTTATCATAATAATGAATAAAGACCGAACATTTTGAAAAACAAAAAATATTTTTTACTTTCTGCTATAAAACTTATCAAATAAAAACATTTTAAAAATCAAGTTTCTTCATAACTTTGGGCCAAAATGTATTCTGCTACATGTCTTTGGTTAAAAAAAAATCCCTATAAGTGCATATTACCGTATTTTTCGCTCCATAAGACGCACCTGACCATGAGATGCGCCTAGGTTTTAGAGGAGAAATAAAATATTCTGAACCAATGGACTGCAGACATAGTACAGGAAATGACCAGAGACTGCAGACACAGTACAGGGGATGACCAGAGACTGCAGACACAGTACAGGAGATGATCAGTGACTGCAGACATAGTACAGGAGATGATCAGATACTGCAGACATAGTACAGATGACCAGAGATTGCAGACATAGTACAGGAGATGACCAGAGACTGCAGACACAGTACAGGAGATGACTAGAGACTGCGGACACAGTACAGGAGATGACCAGAGACTGCAGACACAGTACAGGAGATGACCAGAGACTGCAGACACAGTACAGGAGATGACTAGAGACTGCGGACACAGTACAGGAGATGACCAGAGACTGCAGACATAGTACAGATGGCCAGAGATTGCAGACACAGTACAGGAGATGACCAGAGACTGCGGACACAGTACAGGAGATGACCAGAGACTGCGGACATAGTACAGGAGATGACCAGAGACTGCAGACATAGTACAGGAGAAGACCAGAGACTGCAGACATAGTACAGGAGATGACCAGAGACTGCAGACATAGTACAGTAGATGACCAGAGACTGCAGACATAGTACAGGAGATGACCAGAGACTGCAGACAGTACAGGGGATGACCAGAGACTGCGGACATAGTACAGGAGATGACCAGAGACTGCAGACATAGTACAGGAGATGACCAGAGACTGCAGACATAGTACAGGAGATAACTAGAGACTGCAGACAGTACAGGGGATGACCAGAGACTGCGGACATAGTACAGGAGATGACCAGAGACTGCGGACACAGTACAGGGGATGACCAGAGACTGCGGACATATTACAGGAGATGACCAGAGACTGTGGACACAGTACAGGAGATGACCAGAGACTGCGGACACAGTACAGGAGATGACCAGAGACTGCGGACAGTACAGGAGATGACCAGAGACTGCAGACATAGTAAAGGAGATGACCAGAGACTGCAGACATAGTACAGGAGATGACCAGAGACTGCAGACAGTACAGGGGATGACCAGAGACTACGGACACAGTACAGGAGATGACCAGAGACTGCGGACACAGTACAGGAGATGACCAGAGACTGACTGCGGACACAGTACAGGAGATGACCAGAGACTGCGGACAGTACAGGGGATGACCAGAGACTGCAAACACAGTACAGGAGATGACCAGAGCCTGCGGATACAGTACAGGAGATGACCAGAGCCTGCGGATACAGTACAGGAGATGACCAGAGACTGCGAAGACAGTACAGGAGATGACCAGAGACTGCAGGCAGTACAGGAGATGACCAGGAGACAGTACAGGGGATGACCAAAAGACTGCGGACCTTTGGGGAGGGAGGGGGAGCGGGTACCTGAATTTGACAGGTACCCGCTTCCACCTCCACAGACTTGTCCTCCCTTTAGTGTGGGTACCCGGCTGTGCCGGGTGCCCACTGCGCATGCGCATGCGCGAGAAGTGCTGCGCTTTGTGAATGGCCCGGAGTCTTCTGGAACCTGTCATGTGTCCGAGAAGACACCGGACCATTCACAAGGCACAGCGCTTCTCGTGCATGCGCAGTGGGCACCAGGCTGTCACAGCCGGGTGCCCACACTAAAGATGATGGCGCGGAAAAGCCTGTACAGCGCTGGACCGAGGAACAGGTAAGGTCCTGCTTCAGAGAAGAGCTGAGCGGCCGGCCCAGTATTCTGACACGGTGGCGGAAATACCGGAACGGCCGCTCCCTATTTGCTCCATAAGACGCACTGACATTTTCCCCCCTTTTTGGGAGGGAAAAAAGTGCGTCTTATGGAGCGAAAAATACGGTAATTGTTTTGCGTGAAAGTTATAGTGCCTAATACAGTATATACTGTATACAGTATATACACCCAGAATCTATGGACAACAATAGTAAACTATTAAACATAGGAGCATTTGGCTAGTAAACCCTGCATTCCTGTCTGGATTTAGCAACAGATTTCTCATGGACAAGACATGTCCGTGTCCAGACTTTCACTCTCTCTCCACTTCCTCCTTCTGGGTTTTTGAGACAGCAGGGATAGGAAGTACCTGTCTATTACCAGCCAGGTCTGTGGTAATGTAAGCCGTGTACCGGGGTGGGCTCCCCAGGATACAGTGAAGTCACGAGCGAGGAAAGCAACCTTGATACCAGCTTTTGCAACAACGGAATTTTACTTAGATGTGGCAATGAAACACAACCACAAATTCTGGGAACATACAATAAATTTACATACACCCAGCCCAAAGGCTGAGACCCTTGTGCTGCACAGCACGGCGCCTTCTGATGGATGAAAGTAGAAAGTGTAGTAATTTACCTACTGGCGGGCACAACTAAGCTGCCACACCTTACCCGTTATTACCCTAAGAGAGCAGGAATCAGTATATGGGTGTATGGTATGGGCTAGCCTGCGGTGCAGCACAACAGCTTACAATCTTACACAAATCTACAGTATTCCCCCCTCCCATAACTGGTCCTGTAGCACATGCCTGAGTAATCCTTCTGAGCAAAACGCCAGTCTGGCTTGAGTTTGTAGGATTTTATCAGCTCTCCAATGTGAAATGTCACTTTAAGTTGTGGACTCCATCCAATGATCAGTAACAACACTTGTGGCCTGACACAAACAGAGACCCTAACTAACTAACTATAGGCCTGTCTCAGTCTCAAGGCACCAACACTGAAATGAGGTGCGTGCACGATCTTACCAACCAGGGTCTGCTTTGCATGCGCTGGTGACTCTGAACAGAACAAATGTCTCTCCAACAAGCAGCAATCTCATCAGCATTCCTGGCAGCAATCTTCCTTTCTCTGAACAGGATCAGCGTCTTGAACACCATAAGCTTTACTTAGCTGCATTTCTGATTACGGAGGGATGTTCTCACACCTGGATGGCATCGAATTCTCAGCTCACACACAGCCCCATTCTCCAAAGCATGGCTGCTGTCTCTTCTTCCTGTTCACACAACTCCTGTATGAAAACTCCACCTCTTCATGAATATAGAAGTATCTATGCAGTCTGACACTGTTAGAAAAACAGTGACATCTTGTGGCTAAACCGCAGAATGCCAGTCAAAACATTTGATTTACTCCAAACAGTGTTCAAACAATGAGAGCTGTTTCCCCATCTTACAGTAATACCAAACAGCTACACTATATTGCCAAAAGTACTGGGGTACCCCTCCAAATCATTGGATTCAGGTGTTCCAATCACCTCTATGGCCACATAAAATCAAGCACCAGGCTGCTTCTACAAATGTTTGTGAATAAATTGGTCACTCTCAGGAGCACAGTGAATTCAAGGGTGGTACTGTGTGATTTTTACACCTGTGCAATAAGTCCATCCCTGAAATTTCCTTGCTACTAAATATTCCACGATCATCTAATAGTGGTATTATTACAAAGTGGAAGCAACCGGGAACAACAGCATCTCAGCCACAAAGTGATAGGCCACATAAAATGACAGAGCGAGGTCAGCACATGCTGAAGCGCACAGTGTGAAGAAGTCGCCAAATGTCTGCAGAGTCAATAGCTAAAAACCACCAGTAGGCATGCAGACTGGTTCTACAAACATTTGTGAAAGAATGGGTCGCTCTCAGGAGCTCAGTGAATTCAAGCATGGTGAGGTGATAGGTCACCACCTGTGTAATAAGTCCATCTGTGAAAGTTCCTTGCTACTAAATATTCCACGGTCAACTGTTAGTGGTATTATAGCAAAGTAGAAGCAACTGGGAACAACAACAACCCCACGTAAAATGACAGAGCGAGGTCAGTGCATGCTGAAGCACCCAGTGTGCGGAAGTCATTAACTGTCAATAGCTAAAGACCAAATTTCATGTGGCCTTCAGATTAGCACAGCAAAAGTGCATAGAGAGCTTCATGGAATGGGTTTCCATGGCCGAGCAGCTGCATCCAAGCCTTACATTACCAAGTGCAATGCAAAGTGTCAGATGCAGTGGTGTAAAGCACGCCACCACTGGACGCTAGAGCAGAGGAGACATGTTCTCTGGAGTGACCAATCTGGAGTGACAAATCACACTTCTCTGTCTGGCAATCCAATGGACGTGTTTCGGTTTGGTTATTCTGACTCAGATTGTTGTGATAGAGATTTATCCCTTGTGAGACCTCTCTGCCTAGCCTGTATAAGCAGATATAATCACTGTGGGCAATCCTTATCAGATAGCTTGAACTCACCAATACTGTGTTCATCCAGAAGTTGCTTTATTCTGTACATGTGAAACAGGATACAGCAGAATGAATGGTTTCCAGTATTATGCGGTCAAAAGATGATACTTTCTGTAGCGTACTATGCAGAATACATGTGTCCCTGTTACATGTGGTCTGTTAGCTGCATCCATGACACAGGAAGTGCTGTACTTTAGAAGAAGGGAGGAGCTTCATATACAAAGGAATTGTGTCATAGATCTCAGGGAGGTAATATAAAACAAATGCATTACCAAATAAGGCCACTGGATGGCAGCATAACTAACTATAGAAATGTCCATAGGAAATGGTACAAAAAATAAACTATATGAATTCTCATGTACATTAACATAAATATTAACTGTGTAACAGCATATTGGTGGTTGCCAGGAAAACGGTACTTGTCTGACTGCATTGTGTCAAGAGTAAAGTTTAGTTTTTCAGGAGCTGGGTTTGGTTCCTTAGTAAAGGGAACTCTTAAGGCATCAAAATACCAAGACATTTTGGACAATTTAATGCTCTCAACATTATGAGAACAGTTTGGGGATGGCCCCTTCCTGTTCCAACATGACTGCTCACCAATGCACAAAGCAAAGTCCATAAGGAGATAGTTGAGCGAGTTTGGGGTGGAGGAATTTGACTGGCCTACACAGAGTCCTGACTTCAACCTGATAGAACACCTTTGGGATGAAATAGAGCAGAGACATGCGAGCCAGGCCTTCTTGTCTGACATCAGTGCCTGACCTTACAAATGCACTTCTGGAAGAGTGATCAAACATTCCCATAGACACACTCTTAAACCTTGTGGACAGCCTTCCCAGAAAAGTTGAAGCTGTTATAGCTGTGAAGAGTGGGTCAACTCAATATTGAACCCTACGGACTAAAACTAGGATGCCATTAAAGTTCATGTGCTTGTAAAGGCAGGCGTTCCAAAACTTGTGGCAATATAGTGTATTTAGAAATACAGAGAGTAGAGGGAAACATATTACTACGCCATCAAAGAAAGGGCATAGTTGGGCTCTGTTGATGAGAGCCTGTGACAGCCCCTTAGTTGTTATAACACCTGCATCACCGAAGGACTATGGTGGTGGGGCGGGACAGGTGGGTTTACTAGTAATTGAAGAGGAATCAGCAGGAAGGACATATCCTGCTGACTATAAATTATGTCCCTTGTGCTGAATTTTCTGTTTTTTATTTAATTTTGATTTAATGGTGCTATTTTCAATGCGATAGGAGGTTCTAATATATTAGGCAGATCTAACGTCTCAAAGGTCCACATTAGGACATGTCCTGTCAGCACCTAGACCGGTCTGAGATTTATTTGCTATGATAAGCTTTACAGGGATAATCTCAAATATGGGCTCTAATCTGTTCACTAAGCACTTACAAGAAACAATGGCAACATTTCCAGAGAAAAGAGAAAGTAATACTTTCCTCAAACCATTCTAATATACTGTATATATATATAGTTTAGAGTGTCTACTGTTTATGCTACATCTCATGATGGATTAAATACTTAATTGGACTGTGCTCTAAATGATGGTGCCATTTTGTGATTTGGAATGTTAAAGACTTTTTATTTTAGAATTCAAAATATCTGTTGAGTTAATGTCTTACACATTTTTCATTCAAAAAAATCAAAGGGTAACAAAGTTATACTGTATATATACTGCAGACTTGGCAGGTCACATCTTCCGTTCCATCACTTTTTCAGTAGAACTTTGCCAGCAGTGCCCTCCAGGAAATAACATGGTTCAAATGTGATGACAGGGATGGTCATGTTGAGGAATATAGGTTAGTAAGTACACAGGAACCCAAAGACTCTAACAGATCATTATTTATTTCACCAATTCTTTTGGTTAAGTATCTTAGTTCTATTCACTGACCACAATGGGTGCACTGAGGGAAAGGCAATATTAAAACTTCCATACACAATGGGTACACTGACCCACGCTTTCCATGACATGTGAAGTTGCAGATTTAACAGTCTTAAATATTTACTACAATGGCATAAAGCTCAGTGTTTGATGCTTGTTTTATTTCATGACATTAATTTCAACACAGATCAGATTCCCTTTTTTAGATATCTGTAAGGGGGTAATTCTTCCCAATGACCAATGACTATTACACTAATGTATCATGATTTGTAGATATAGTGATTTTTAGCAGGGGTTCCCTGAGACTGGAAAATTATTTAAATGGTTCCTCTGTGTTGTCAAGGTTGAGAAAGGCTGCTGTATTAGAATAAAATGTTGTTCATAAATATGTGCTTTCCTTTAATTCTATTGCAGATGCTGTTTAGTTCTTCACATTTATTCCTAGTAAAGCTTCCTGTGGAGAAAAGCCAACAGATTATACAAACTTTACTAATCTGCATATTTAAATAAATGTTCATAATATGACAAAGCAGGCTTTACAATTCATCAGTTTTGTTC